ACAATAAAAATAAGACAATATAAAACACTATATTAATAGTCACAAATTACAAAAATACAGAGAAAAACTTACATGTGTCCTATCTGTTTAAAATGGGAAATTGCTACAAAAAACTTTCAAAACTAGTGTTACATGGAGGTTAACCTTTTTTTTAAACAAAACAAATTAATATCAAAAATACTAAAATGAGCTGTCATAGGTTAACATTAAATTTAAAACAACAATTAAAATGACAGCTAAAGTTAAACTGTAAAATTCACACCTTTAAATATTACAATTTTTTAATTGTTATAAAAGTTATTTAAATATTATTGTTATTTAAAAAAAATGTCTACTTTACTTTGATATTTATACACCAAAAGTTACCTGGACAGCACTGGGGTTTTACACGAACACACGAATACACGAACAGAAGGACTGTGAGAAATTTAATCAACATTATATAAAATCAAACTTTAACAAATTATTCGTCACATTTGTAGCTCCCTGATGAAGGATATAACCAATGTTCGAAAGAATGGAATAAAAATTTAGAAGAGTACACGTTTCATTTTTTATTGTTGCAAACCCAATATTTAAGATTTACTTCCTTACGTTGGCAGCAAATACCTACTTCTGGTTCATTATATATATATATATATATATATATATATATATATATATATAGTAGTATGTATTGTAGTTGTGAGTTTCTTGAACCGTATTATATTTAATATAAAATTAGTGTTTCTTGGGTTTAGGTTCAATAAAGTTATATTATATGTGGAACTAGATTTTATTTTCCATAACAATCAACGTTTCGGCAGGAAACCCTTGCCTTTGTCAATATTCTAAAATGTATAGGTATAAGGACAACCAGATATTGTAAAATATGTATATATTCCAAAATAATTTCCGTGATGGTATTCCGTTTTTGCAGCTTAGACTTTAAAATGCAATGAACTGTATATATTAAGCGTACAATCATTAATATCATTATTCAGTTTTAAAAAAGTTTCATCCGATGACGTAATAAAAATAAAGATTACAACAAGTAGAGATAGAGTCAGAATTTGACTTATTGAAATCGACACGCACCGACTTGTTTCAGTTAACATCGTACGCATCGATTTTCATAGAAAACCACTAATACATTAGTCCTTTTTACAAAGTTCGCAAGTAAATTACAAACGGATACCACATTCGTCAAAGCAGCTTAAGCAGTAACATTATTGAGAGATGGCCAGAGGGTAGATGGCAGAGAGCCGTGGCAAATCGACTGAATTTAAACCAATCAGATATGTCTCGAGTGTATCGTCAGTACCAAGATACTGGTGATTATGTCCGCCAATAAGAAGGAAGACGTAAACGAAAAACAATGGAGGAAGATGAACAATTTCTTGTATCGAAATTCCTAAGAAATCGATATTTGATTGGTGCTAATTTCAAAGAAGAGCTAAGAGAGGACCGAGGTGTGGTTACGAGCGTTTATACAGTCAGAAGGAGACTGAAGGCCGCCCAGCTGACACCAAAAAGTCAGTACTGGTCCCAATATAACTGCAGCCCAGTAACAAAGGCGATTAGAATTTACTCACGAACATCTGGATTGAAACGACTTTAAAGTAGGAACTACCTACACGGCAACTACAAAAGGCGTTGAGTTTATAGAAGGCTAGAAGAGCGATTTGCTTAACATTGTGTATAGGAAACTGTGTCATATGGAAGCGGTTCTTGTATGTTTTGGGCAGGCATTTCCATGGATGGAAAAGCCGAGCTGGTTTTCGTGCTTGGTGGAGGATGTGGAAGGTTTAACGGCATATCGTTACATCTGAGACATTTTGGAAGAACGTTTTGGTTCCACACGCAGCATTTATTGGTGACGCCTTTATTTTAGTGCACGATAATGCACGATGCCATACCGCACGAGTTACCACCACCTATCTGACTGAGATCGGTATATCTACAATAAATTGGGTTGAGTCCGGGCTTAAATTCAATTGAGCATGTTTGAAATGAGCTTAAACAAAGGGCACGGGACGGAAATCATGCACCAGGGATCATAATAGAATCGAGAGCTGCGCTTAATTATAAATGAAAAGCAATGTTATGTCATCAATAAATTCTTATTAGAAAAGTCATCTGATTCATGCAAAATCGATTGCAAAGTGTGAGTAGGGGTGGTAATATCAAATACTAAAAAATAAAGGAATTCCTTTTTCTGATTGATGATTTCTCTGTTCAACCCTTCTGTCGTGCGTTCGTTGCAATGATGAATATTAAGAAAACTTGTTTAAATAATCCGTCCTCCAAATAATGCAGTAACAGTTTTTGTAAGTTCAATAATAAAGTAACTGTTTGCATATTAAATATTTTTATTTTTACACTTCTTACGTTTAAATTAAAGGTGTAATAATGTTCTCGGACGCGACTAGTTCACGTTCGAGACGCATCGCCCCGCCCCTTATTTTTCACGTTGGCCCCTCCCTGACCTGGAAATCCCTAATCGCTACTTTAGAAAGTATAAAAATAGGCGATTTTCAGGTCAATAAGTCAGTCCTTCACGAGCTCTCCGAGAGCTTAGTGCTCTCGGGGCTCTGCTTTCTTGTTTTTAGATTTTCCCATACTCTGTGGCTGAGATGTTATTCTACTGCAACCTGGTATTTTTATTTCGACTTAACCTTTGTCATGTAAGAAATATCTTGCCTTTTTCAAGGCAAGATACCAGAAGAAAACATTTTCGAGTCCATACCTTGAAAATGGACTTAAGTAGAGGGGCTTTCGTCGACATTTCCGAAGCCCTCTACAGAGCACACGGTGGTACAGAAGGTGCTTAGACCCTTATTAATTATCCCGAGGTGACAATAACAACAAAATGAAATGGGTTCTAACAATAAGGGGATGTAACAACTTTAGTAATCGTGAACTAAAAAATAATAAAGTAGGAACCGAAAGCAGGAAATTCAAGTCAGAATAGACCCAGGAGTAAGAGCTCTAATTAGAATCTTCTTCTTTGGGTGCCGTGTCCGTATTCAGACGTTGGCCGTCATCATGTTTACAATTTCCTGAATCTTTTCTCTGTCGGCTGCTGCGCGAAATAATTTTTCTACTGTGAAACCATACCATTGTCTAATATTACGCACCCATGAAAGTTTCTTTCGACCAATCCATCTCTTTCCCTCCACTTTTCCTTGTATTATAAGGCGAAGTAAATGGTATTTAGGTCCTCTAATTATATGGCCGAAGTATTCTGTTTTTCTTCTTTTTATGGTGTTTATGAGCAGACGTTCTGAATTGATCATTTGAAGAACATCTTCATTGGAAGTGTGCGAAACCCACGATATCTTTAGGATTCGTCTATAGCACCACAATTCGAATGCTTCTAACTTGTTTAGCATTGTGGTTTTTAACGTCCATGTCTCACAACCATACAATAGGATCGACCACACATAACATTTCAGGACCTTCTTACGAATATTCATTGACAGGTTTCTGTTGCATAAAACGGGTTTCCAGGTCATAAAAGCCTTAAGTGATATTTCGATCCTGGATATTATCTCTTCATCAGGGTCACAATTTACATTTAACCAGCTGCCAAGGTATTTGAAATGATTTACCCTTTCTATCTCTTCTCCATTAAGAGAAAGCAGACCTTGATCTATATGGATCTTTCCAACTGCCATCCACTTTGTCTTTGAAATGTTGATTTTTAGGCCTCTCCGATAACTTGCTTCACTGACTAGATTTAGTAATGTTTGGAGATCTTGTAAACTTTCGGCAAGAATGGCTGTATCGTCAGTCTAATTAGAATAAAGTAGAATAAATAATATATGGTGGTCAATGAGATTGGCAAAGGAATGGAAATATATATATCTACAATAAGATCGTCAAACTAGAATACAGAAACATGGGGACAGAGTTAGAAAAAAACTATGAGATAGAGTTAAAAACCAACAAATAAAATAAACCATCAAGGTGATAAACAGAATCGCGAAAGATGTTGAACAAAGATTAAGTTGGTATGGATATGTAATTCGATGAGTGACTTGCAACTTCTGAAAGGAGTGTGGGATTAGAATTGCACGTCGATACGTGCTTAAAACCATTTAGTATAATATATTAAGATAAATTAAATAAAAAAATTACATGGAAGGTAACATATTTCCAAATTTTCGTTAGAAACTATAAATTTATGTCAATTTATGCCAGTCCAAATTGAGCCTTGCCTTCTCTAAACTATGTCTCCAACCTTACCCGTCCCGCATCGATCTTCTCCAGGATCTCACGTCTATCAACATTTGCGCGTCCGCTGCCACTTCATCCTCTCACGTTTTCCGTGGCTTTCTTTTGGTATTAAGCCCTGCATGTTACTACTAAGGGCTCTTTATGACCATCTTCTGCTCACCGTTCTCACTAGATGACCAGCCCATTGAAGTATCTTAAGTTTATTGAATTCTGAGATCGGTGTCTCTTCGAACAGTTAGTAAAGATCATAGTTGTACCTGGATCTCCATACTTCGTTTTCCTTAATAGATCCTAATATCTTCCTTAGGACTTTTCGTTCGAAGACTTTCAAATTTCGTTTTGTGTCTTCTGTCATTACCCATGTCTCACATCCATAACATACTATTGCTCTGATAATAGTATTGTAGACCCTGATTTTCCATCTTCAGTGTTTATTTTTGGAGCAAACACATTTACTTCTGGAATATATGTTGAGTTCGATTTTATTATTTAGCAATAATAAATTAATATTAATATATTAAACAAATGGTAGAGTAATTTTACAGAAGCAGTAACTTCGCTTCAAAAATAATATTTATAGGTAAATTATAATATATAATGTATAATATGTATACTATGATCTTGATAATCTCAGAGGTTGATGCGACTAATTTTGTAAAATAAAAAAATAATCAAAATATTTGTTTAAACTAGGTTTACCACTTGAAACATAAAATAATCTTATCATGTTCGTTTTGATATATAAATTAACACCGACCAATATAAATAAAAATCAAATTATCAAGTGTGTAGGTAGTGTATAGTGTATTCTTTTACGAACATAATGGATTCACCAGTAATTACCGTAACAGAAGGTCAGATAAGAGGTTATCGGAGAAAAAATTTAGATGAAGAAGAATTCTATGCCTTTTTGGGAATTCCCTATGCAAAACCTCCTGTTGGGGATTTACGTTTCAAAGTAAATATAAGCTTGTGAATATATTATAACCAAAGAATCATGAATATTTTTTGTTTTGGAATGTTTTATATGTCATATGTTTGACGTATGTCAAACTGTTTTCCCCTATATCTCCTACCACCTTTTTCTTTTACTCTTTTCACGAATACAACAATCGAAACTTCTTTATATTAGGTATATTTGTATTCTAGTTCAGATATTAAATGTGTCGTTATCATATTAATATAGATTCTTCTACTTTGAAATAATTTGCTTTTTAATTACCTTACATACAATCATTACTCTTTACTATCGTTTGACCATCTAAAATTATTATTATTATTATTTGTAACTGTAACTACTAATGGAAAGTGACTCTTGCCGGTCGTTGTATCATGTTTGCTATGTTTTTAAATTATTAGAAATAATGAACAATTTTCTAAATTTTATTACGTGTGACCTAAAAATATATTTTATTAATTTTTTGTACGTAGATTTTATTAGCTATATGTAGCTTATATTACAATTAATAAACAGTCGTTTATCGTACACTTCACAGTCGGCCTCCCTCGCATTCTATATTCAACACTTATTTTGTACCAAACATTTCTGTTTATTTTACGCTTTGAAAACTTTAGTCATTAACATACATTTTTTCAGTTGGGTTTCAATTTTGAGAGATTATCATACGTTTTGTCTCTTCATTATTTCTTATTTTTTACTCGTTTTGAGATCTCTATGCATAATGTTTTGAAATTTTTCGGGGCTGTCTGCAAAAATTAGTTTATCCATTGCATATGTCAAGTTGTTAATTTGGTCTTTAATTACTTTAATTTTACTGGCTTCTTGACAAATTTTTACAAATACAAGTTAAACAATAGATGTGCAGTATGTACGTTTTCTTGGTCTATTTACGTTATTTTACCCGTTTGTTTTTTCTGCTCTCTGCATTCTAAGCTTTTTCGATTGACCATTTCTTCTAATCAGATCGTCAGTCTCAACTCTAGCTTGCACCACATGAGGAATTAATAATGTTTTTATTAATTGTTGAACAGCTTTAGCTTTAGTACCTTGCACGTGGATAGGTGGGTGATACTTATTTAATAGTGCACCAGCAATACGGTAGAAATCGTTTAGTATTTTTGCATGTTGCGTGTTGATAGGATTGGAGAAGATAGTGCCTAAATGGCCATTTATTTTTTCTACAATCCGTCTATTTTTCGTAACAAGTGAATTATTAGCATCTTCAGTTAAAAGTTGCTTCTGTCCACGTGGTAAAAGTACATTTCTACCAGAACTATGTCTTTATTTTGCAACCAATCTCTTAAATAATTTCTATCTCTGGCAAATCTTGTATATAGTATGTACATCTTTCCTTTGATAATTATATTTATTTGATCCCGATTTGCCCGATTCCTACAAGAAATGGTGTATAAAATTATGGGTATAATAATAAAACACTCAAAGTTTAGTTTTCAAAACTTCCACAAAATTAATTGTATAGTCTTATCACTAGAGCTGTTTTGACAGAGTGCCTCCTACAGAAATTTGTTTTAGTAAAAAACCTTTTAGACCATAATATTATAAATCCAATCATTACATCTTAAATTTTACATCTTCTAGAAATTTGCCAAAATCCATCTTCTAGAATAGAAGATGGATTGCCACCTTCTAGAAATCTGCCATCTTCTAGAATAAACCAGGGCTACTTTGAATTTAATAATCAAATATATACAAATAACAGTGCAGGACTTATAATGGGTAATCCTCTAAGCCCATTACTATCAGATATTTTTATGGCTCATTTAGAGACAAAGAATTTAAAAAAAATCCTTATTTTATCAGTTTTTATATTAGTTGAGATAGGTAGACGATGTACTAGTATGTTGTACAGAAACTAACAGGCAACTTGACCAATTTTTATCGTATATTAATTCACTCCATAGTCATATTGAATCTACAATAGAAGCAGAACAAAATCAATTCATAATTTTTGAAATTTAAAAATTATTAAACACAAAAACAAACATGAGTTCTTAAATACAATATAATAAAAACAACAAGAGCCAAAATAAAAAGCACTTACACAGTGGTATCTACAAACTCAAATGTGACGACTGTCCAAAAACTTACATCGGTCAAACTGGTAGATCTTTTAACAAACGTAGAGCAGAACATAAAAGGACTTTCAATAATAGAAAAACAGATTCTACATAAGCACTTCACCTTCTAGATTATAGTCATTTTTTTATGATGAATTTCAGATCCTTCACATCCAACATAAAGGCCTTAAGCTATATTTATTAGAATCTATAGAAATTAACAAATTAAAAACTACAGACATAATTCTGAATGACCAACTTGGGACAAATAGTTCTTTCCTACCCAACCTATTCAGTTATAAGAGATTAAAAAGTGTAAGCACGTACCAAAAATGGATCCCTTGAGGAAACAGCTGTAGTGATAAGATAATAAATTTAGAAAACAAAGTTTCTTCTTTGGGTGCTGTCTTCTTAGTGAAGGTTGGCGATGAACTCTGCAAAGTCTTCCCTATTTTGAGCTTTTCTCATTAAACTTTGAAGTCTAATCCTGTCCAATCTTTGATGTTGCGCAGCCAGGTCATTTGTCGTCTACCCGGGCCGCGTCTGCCTTCTATTTTCCCTTCTATAATAATCTGAAGGAAGTTATACCTATCGTGTATAAATATGTGTTCAAGATAAGACGTTTTACGCTTCTTGACAATTTCTGTGAGTTCACGTTCTCTATTTATACGCTTTAAAGATTTCTTCATTTCTAACGCAGTCGATCCATAGAATTTTCAGCATACGACGAAATACCCACATCTCAAAGCTCTCTAAATGTCGTAACGAGCTGACTGTTAACGTCCAAGCTTCCACGCCGTGTAATAATATATACATAACACTTTATCATGCAGTATCGTAGGGACAAATCAAGATTATGGGTAGCGAGTACATGTCGCATCTTTAAGAAGGTGTTTCATGCCTATTCTATTCTACATTTAACCTCTTGTTCTTGGTCTAAGGTTTCATGTATCTAACAGCCTAGATACTTAAACTTTTTCACTTGTTCATCTAAATTGTTGTTGACTAGTATGTTTATAACTGCTGTGTATTTTTTAGAAATTACCATTGTTTTGATTTTTTTTACATTCACCTTAACGCCGTATTGTTCTCCTTCTCGCACTACTTTGGTTAACAGAATTTGTAGTTCTTCTTCACTGCCAGCAATCAATACTGTATTATCGGCATACATGATGTTATTCACGATTTTTCCATTGACTTTTATTCCTTCTTGTGCTTCACCTAGAGCATGTGCAAATATGTCCTTTGAGTACAAGTTGAATAATAATGGTGATAGTATACAACCTTGTCTAACTTCTCTTTAGATGTTTATGATTTCAATATCACCCATTTCATTTCTGACAGAGGCGTTTTGGTTCCAGTAGAGTTCACGTATTGTATTAATGTCTTTTGGAACCAGGTTCTTTTTTTGAAAACATTCTATTAGCTGATCGTGTTTTTACTTTGCCAAAACACTTTCCATAATCTATAAAACTAAAGTAGAGATCTTTTTGTTGATCCCAGCACTTTTGCATGAGAACAATGAAACTGAACAAAGCTTCCCGAGTTCCCATACCGTTTCGGAAGCCAAATTGTTCCGAACCCATATCTTCTTTGCATTTTTTGTAAATTCTGTTTCAGAATATGGGGCATAAGACTTATTAATCGAAAGTCGTTACATTTTTTTGCGTAGTTCGCTTTAGGTTTAGGCACAAACGTAGACGTTAACCAATATTGTTGAATTGTGCCAGTCTTGTATATACTGTTAAAGAGTCTTGATAATAGTTCTAAATTGTCCTCTTCCAAAAGTTGTATAATTTCGCTATCTATGAACGTAGTCAGGTCCAGAGGCTTTTCCGGTTTTCATATTTTTAAGGCATATTTATGATAGGCATATGATTTAAGATAGGCAAGTCGTTATTTTCGATGTTTGTTTGTCTATCAACATTTATTGTTCTATCGTCTAAGAATAGGTTTTGTATGTATGTTCGCCATTCAAGGCTAATTCCTTCTATTGTGGTCAGGACTCTATTATCCGTACTTGTTATTGTGCCACACTGCCTAGCGTTTCTGATCCCACACATTTCTTTAATTTTCTTATGGAGAAGTCTATTATCATGTTTATTCTGTAGGTCTTCTAACTCTTCGCAAGTTTTTATAAGCCACTGTGTTTTTGCTTCCACTATCTTTTTTCTTATTAGTCTTTGTATTTCTTTATATTTATTCCAGTCTTTGTTCTTGTGTTGTCGTCTCACATTCATCATTTCTAATATTTTATTAGTTATCCATGCTTCTTTGATTCGTGTATTTAAGGTGGTCTTCAGCTTTTAGAAATACAGTCTTAATTTGTTTTCATATTTGGTTGAAGTCGTCGGATTCATCTGGTACATCATTTTCCTTTTGTCTGTTTTTAAGTTCTCGACATTCGTGGTTAACTTCTTGTGATATCTTCTGTCTCGTTTCTATATCATACAGTAGGCTCATGTTTGATTACTGTCCTCTCTTCTTTCTTTTTATGCTTTTCAGCGTGTTTTTGAATTTAGCGACGAGCAAGGTGTGGTCGGAAGGGACATCTGCACCGGGGTAAGTTTTTGCGCTTTGTAAGCTATTTCGGTATCTCTGGTTGATCATGATATAATCTATTTGGTTTCTGACGCAATTTTTATCATTATCTTGTGGCGATTTCCATGTGTATAGTCTGCACGCAGGTAGTTTGAACCATGTATTCATAATAGTAATATAATGTTCTTGGCAAAATTGAAACAGCCTATCGCCTCTTTCATTTCGCTGACCTAATCCATGTTCTCTAATGATATTCTCAGATCTACCTTTTCTCACTTTTGCATTGAAGTCTCCCAACAAAGTTTACAGTATTTTATTGTTCTATAAAATAAATTTCCCTCAACTAACGGTCGAATGTTTAAGAATGAGTTAAGAAAA